CTCCCTCCATGGATTTTAACGCCTTCTTGACAGTCTGCACGTACGTTTGAGATATTTTACGAATTGTTAATAATTTATCTGTTTCTGTAGTTTAGGTGAAGTGGTAGAACATTATGGCCATTGTAGATGTGTAATACTAAAGTATACCGTAAATTTTATTATAGTAAACAATTTTATTCAATTTTTCCTCCCCCATTGAAAACGCAAAGCTTAAGTATAACTGCAATAAGCATCTTAAACTTATATGCCAACCCCGTACGAAGGACGGGTACTCTGCTAGTATTATTATAACTCAACAATGAATTGTTTTTAAAAATTTCAAAAATTAAAATAACTGTTTCTTGTTTGCACAATTTTTACCAAGTTTGTATTTATATTCATGTGTTGGGGCAATGAAAGAGTTTTCTTTTTTAGGCATTGCTATATGTATAAAACAATCCTGTTGAAAAACAAATCGTTGTATATAGTTTTTGAAGTGGGGCCGAAAATAGTAATTGATCAAGAGCTTTTTAACAAATCTTAGTGCGGTTAAATTCTTAGGAATTTTTGGAAATCCAAGACAAATCTACAAAAACCTCGTCCCTCATCCCCTGAGACACGCGGCGTGTTTAAGGTGGTCAGAAATATCCACAGAGCTGATCTTGTTTTATATTCATTTGTTCTGAGCCTTTATAGCCTCTTGTGAGGGAATATATTTGATATATGTATCTTAAAAAATTATTGTTTGTCTTTTTACCATTTCCTGGGTTGAATATTACGTTAATTTATTGTTCTAAACAGATGTATTAATATCATTACAATAATGTTACAAAGAAAGAATGTAAAATAATATTGCTTTAGGAAGTTTTGAAGGAATACCCAGAGCAATAGTGTCTGCCTGGGAGGAGAAGTAATGAAAAAATAACAACGCTTTACCATTCCTCAAGTAGTGTTTTACCTTGGTATTTTTCTGAAATAAAACTAACTATAATTGCCCTAAATTTCAGATTTGAAATAGTTGAAATAACTAACATTTGTAATAACGTAATTACTTACTGTTATAGATCCTCAATCATTGTTTTTGGTCTCTATGCAAATCGCATCCATATTTTATTTCTAATTTTGCAAACTTTAAACAAATAGCTTGGATATTAATGTGTTCTATACTTAATTCAAACAATAGTAGTTAACGCAACGATCGCGTAAAGATGGTTTTAACGAGACGAGTAATAATTTAAAAACTTGTAGATTACAACCTTCTACAAGGATCATTATGACTATTTACGCAAGTTGTGTACACTGATTTACCTAGACCGTTTTTTAATTAATCGCCTGTTTATAACGTCGCATTTGCCACTGACAGTGATGCAACGACTCATTGTACCGATCGTTAACAATTAAATTGGTCTGAACAGCTGATTAGTTGATGTTCCAAACATACAATTTTACTTGTAACCATTTAAATAATTATTTGCCACAATTCCCTAAAATGATCCCTGGCCATGATCATAATAATATAATCGTGGAATTTTATGTGCTCCTTCCGTTAGGGATACCACTATTATTGCCTTTAAACATGGTTTTTGCAACTAGAGTTATGCAGGCATTAAAGAACATCCATATTTCATAGAAAATCAATATTCTGCCATAATCAGGATTGAGTTGAACTTTGTTCACCCCACTCCTTTAAAACATAAAACCTGCAAATTTGACAGGAGTTTTACATGAACAAAGAACAGTGTGGAAATTTCTATAACTAGCCTAATTAATAACTACTCTAAACATTGATGTGATTTAACATTCACCGCTGTTATTAATACCTTATGGATAATACCGTCGCAGACATAACCAACGCACTCAAACCACAACAATAGGACAATTTCATTTTCACTCTTTTGTATTATATGTATATATTTTTATGATTGATATTTTACATGTTACGTGCTAATGTACATTTTCATAAATTATTCTAGTTAGCTTTAAGTTAGAATTCTATGTGTATTGTCATTAGTTAGTGTCGGCGACCAGTTAGGTATAATTCAGTAGATCTACACGTTTAACACCTGAATTTTAAAGGGCAATTATTGTTGAGATATAATTCTTTACTCTAATATTAAATAATTTTGGTGGTGATTGAAAATTCTGGTTATCATTCAGATCACCTGGTGTGTGCCATTTCTTGATTAGATGAATCAATTACAGTATTTTTTATCATTTGAATAATATTTAAACTAGGTGGCGACCTTTTTATTAAGAATTTTTGATTATTGATAAACACTCTTTGTATATTCATTGACCTACCCCCAGACTGAACAATCCGAAGCTAGAGTGTTACATACTTCTTTACTCCCAATCCTTGAACATTATTGGTCAGTTACTCATGTTGTTAAGTAAATGTTAAGTCAATCTTTTCAATTCTAAGAACTTAAATGAAACGGCTAGCCTAAAAATAAGTCGTTGGTAAAATAAGTTACTTTCCATTAAAATCAGTTCCGTGTTTTCTATAAACGTGTGGTTGTGGGGTGATAGTTTTATCAATGCCGCCCAGATATGAGAATCCAAGTGGAAACTTATATTTGGTGAAAATTTTCTTTTTGCAAGGAAATCAGTGAAATCCACTTCAAGGCTGATATTTCAATCAGTAAAACTGCATACCTTATATATTATTTAGTTGCTATTTAATAGTTCTATGTTTTATACACTGTAATGATGGATTATGATATTTGACGAGTGGCCAACTAGTATGTTTATCATGGATTTTTTTTAATATTTTACACAACTTATTAATAAATTATATAATTGTTAACTTTTCAGCTTATCTTCTTTGCTCCTTTAGGATCAAAGGATTCTTTAGTTCTCTTTGTATATTTACGATACTAATCACTCAATACACTAGGGTGGTCTGCCGTTACACTTTAGACGCATAAATGAGCGAAGCATTATTTAAAGATTGTCAATGGCTAAAGCAGCTAACAACCTGCAATATGTTCACTTTCAACAGATTCCGTTTGTTTGCCCGATATTATTTAAGTTCTAAAGAATGACAAATTTATCCGATAGTTCATCTATTTAGTTAAGAATAAGAATAAGAATTGATAAAAGGTTATTAGACATATTGTGTATTTGACATTTCGTTTAAACGGTCAAGAGCTTCTTTCTCCTTTGCCCAAGGTCCGTGTCTGTTAATTGACATCAATCGGTCTAGTGAAAATGGTGGATCCAGAAGGAAATTTGCAAATATTTTTTACCATAAACATTGTGCTCAGTATTCTTTAGCTGTTGGCCAAATTTCATATCAATTGGTCAAGCCATTACATTCTGATGCTCTTACAAAGAAGTTACAAAGTGAGGGAAAGTGAGCTTCGCTCAATTATGCACAACCCTATTCATTTTGGCCAATTTTTTGATCAATACAATATTAAACAACAGCCTACTATAGTGTGTGTATTGTGACAGCAATATTTGACCTATCTATTGAAGGATAAGTAATGAATACACAAGTCCTAGCACAATATTCTGTCTTGTAGGAACACCGGAAATGGAATTTATAGCGGGTTTTTGGCAAATTAAACTGCTAAAATATTTATAACAAAAAAGCATAAAACACTATCTAAGGGGGTTGGCATATGTATTCAAATGCTGTAGTTATACTTGTCACAAATCTAAGCTGGAGCTTACTGCTACGTATTCGTGCAAATATATCGTCTAGCAAACCGTCCTTAGTTATGGGTAGTTTAGGATATTTGACACGTGCTTAATACACTACAAAGGAGGATCTACCTGTCATAGACTTGGTGGCAAGGGAAGGGCTTAAAAGGTTGACTTAAACCTTGGTTGTACTTTCATTAACTAAATGTAAATTATTCAACGTATTCATACCAACAAAACTGTAGTATATTAAACAATAAATAGCTATATTTGGTCATATTTTAACTACACGCCTTGTAGCCTAGTAATATTCCATTGACCCAGTAACTATGTATTGCTAATCTGGCATATAGTGGTAGAACGTGATTACACTTGTGGTTAAACACATCATGATTGGATCTGTCTACCTTCCGTGCATTAGGTGTGTTGTGTACAAACAATATCATAGTAATAACTAACTAAAAGACAGACGAACGACTGATCCTGCAATAGTTAAATTAAATTATTATGTTAAATGTCATTACAAAATTAAAACTACTCTCATTGCAATGGCCAAAATAAGAGTGCTATCATACAGGACATCTTGGAAAGAGAATGCGCACTAAAGATAGACACAACACGGGATTACTCAGTTGTGTTTAATTGCATTTTCTCATCTTTCCTTCCAGACAGTAATAAAATGACAACCATCTCAATTATGCAAAACGTTTTACTCCCACTCTCCTTATCTTTACTTTCAAGCACGCATTATCTCCTGGAATTCAATTTTCTCACAAACTTTTAACAGTATGTTAATTACAACTAAAAATAGTACTATAATCTTTGTACTTAAAGAAGTTTAGATTAGTTTTTGTAATTTGGAATTTTATGTTCATGTTTGTAGGCCTATGTAACTGTAAAGTTTGGATTTACACAAAATATATTTAAAAAGTGTTATCTTAGAAATCATCAAATATGTTTTAAAGTTGAACGACCGTTATATATGTTCTAGTATATGCATTTTGACATTTTTCTTCACAATTCTTTGGATATCGAAGATTAAAGATTTGTAAAAAGATTATAGCCTAAACATAAAATCTTAAAAAATATAGAGCTCATTAGATTACGGACATTCATATACTAAGTAGCATGTTAAATTTTAAAAAGCGTTTTCGTAATGAGATAAACATCGCTAAGTTCATAAATTTTGTAAAAAATATTAAAGACAGACAAGACTTTTAGACTTGACAAAAATAGATGTGTATTTATTGGACATTATTTACAATCATAATATAATAATAAAACATGTGTTAGTTCTATTAGAATAAATAAAGAAGGCAGGCATAAATTAAACATATTAAAGAACACAAATCAATGAGTCAATATGAAACATATTACATCTTTTCCCCTCCAACGGAAAGGACTGCAACTTTAGTCAGAGGCCGGTGATAAGTTCCTTTTGATGTTGTTATGTCTACTATTCGTACTTGGCCATCATGACCTGGGTAGACAGCCGAGATTCGGCCAAGGGGCCAAGTATTTCTTGGACAGTTTTCCTCAATTATTATTGCAAGATCGTCAATCTTTGGTGGGTCCAATTTCTTGTGCCATTTGCACCGTCTTGAAAGGCATGGAAGGTACTCATGCACCCATCTCTTCCAGAAGCTGTCTAGGAGTGATATAACACGAGCTAATTGTCGTTTACACAGTTGGTCTTCGTTTAGGTTGATTTTGTAAGCTTCTCTTATAAAATGGTTTGGCGTGATTGGTTCGGGGTCATTGGGATCCAGAGAAACATGTGTGAGTGGGCGAGAATTTATTATAAATTCAACGCGAACCATGAATGTCTGAAGCCCTTCGTCTTTTGGGTACTGGCAGCGCATAACACTCCTTAATGCGGTCTTTACAGACCTAACAAGTCTTTCCCAGCAGCCTCCCATATGTGGTGCTCGCGGGCAAATGAAATTCCATTTTATCCCGTAGTTCACCACGTCTTTTTGGATCTTTTCATGTTTGAGTGACTTTACAGCGTTTCTAAGTTCCCTATCTGCAGCTACAAAGTTTGTGCCATTGTCGGAATATAGTTCTGAGGGAACTGGTCTTCGGCTGATGAATCGTTGAGTCGCCATTATACAACTCTCTGTGTTAAGAGAATGAGCCGTTTCGATGTGAATTGCTCGAGTCGATAAACAGGTAAATAGGACACCATATCTTTTTTCATGTCTGCGGCCAACAGTAACTTCGATAGGTCCGAAATAATCCACTCCAGTGTAGAAGAATGGATGTTGCACTTTTGAGGTCCTTAACTGTGGTAGTGCAGCCATCTGAGGAGGATAAGGTTTGGCATTGTCTATGCTACACCTCATGCAGCTCCTTTGAACTTTCTTGGCGACTGATCGTACGTTTAAGATCCAGAACTGTTGTCTAGTCATATTGATAACAGTCTCGATGCCCTGATGGAAACATTTCTCGTGAAACATTTTTACGATTAGTTTAGCCGTATGACTTTTGCCGTCTAAAATGATAGGATGCTTTTGTTCTTCGCTTATTTCTGGTGAACTATGTATTCTACTCAACATTCTTATTAGAGACTGATCAATGAAGGGATTTAAAGAGAATATTCTACTGGACTTTGGTAGCGGTTTGTTCTTCAGCAGTAAATTTTTTTCTTCATTGAAGCTTGCCTTTTGAGACATTGATATCAAGTTCTGTTCAGCTTTTTGAATTTCCTCTGGTTGAAGTTCTGGTATATTTCCAAAATCTACGTTGACCGTTTTCAGTTTTTTTTTCGTGGTGGCGGTAGTATGGGACCTTAGCATGCTAATAAATCTGTGTACCCATGCTAATACACGTGTCACTTTTTCCCAAGAAGAAAAGTTTTCAACTGTCAAAAGAGGAGGGTTTTCATTACTGTTTACAACTCCGACGAATTTCTTCTTTGTTTCTTCGTTATCCTTGACTTGTAGTGTGGACGGTTGTATTGGCCAGTCACTCGATTCTCGCATTAGAAATGAGGGTCTGTGAATCCATTCAGAATGCATGGCTGATGTAAACTTTTTGTTACTTCTAGTTGCAACATCTGCCGGATTCTGTTTTGGTGGAACCCATCTCCATTCTTCAGGTTTAGACAAATCTTGAATTTCTCCAATTCTATTGGAAACATACTGTTTGAATTGTCTAGGGTCGGATTTCAGCCAGTGCAAAACTGTTACAGAATCTGACCAAAATATCTGACGAGAAATAGTTAAGTCAATGTCTTTTATGATGCTACAAGCTATTCTGCATCCAAGAACAGCTGCTTGGAGTTCTAGTCGGGGAATGGTTGTTTGTTTGAGTGGTGCTACTTTGGCACGTGCCATAACAAGCATGGTCTTGTAAGTACCTCTGACACATCCATGGCGTAGATACGAAACTGCTGCATAGGCCTCTTCACTAGCATCAACAAACGTATGGAGTTCAACTTCTTCAATTGTTTTGACGTTAAAATAGCATCGAGGTATGGTGAAGCTCTGCAGACATTTTACTTCTTGTAGCCAGTCTTGCCATTTTTTACTAAGTTCTATCGAAAGAACTTCGTCCCACGTTATGTTTGTTCGCCAAATGTCCTGAACAAGCATTCTCCCTTTTATAGTAGTAGGTACAACTAATCCCAATGGATCGAAAATGGACATAGCTCCTCTTAAAACTTCACGTTTGGTCGGATACCTTGTTTCAACTAACTGTACCTTTTCGGCGTTCCGGTGAAATGAAAAGTGGTCAGTTTCAGCATCCCACCACATTCCGAGGATACGTTCTGTAGGTAGACGACTTTCAGGTTGCAGCTGTTTTGTAGAGTTTGTCTTCAAATCTTCCGGTATTTCGAGTAAAATTTCTTTTGAATTTGACAACCAGTTACAGATTTTAAAACCTCCGGACTTGTGAATTTCTGTTATCTGTTGTATTCTAATTCTAGCTTCTTCTTCTGTATCAGTAGAGTCTAGTAGATCGTCCATGTATTCACTGCAGAGGATCGCTTTACTTGCTTCTGGGTAAATTTGTAGAAACCTCTTGGCGTTGCTGTTTACTACATACAAGGCAGTACTCGGGGAACACGTTGATCCAAATATCATTGCTTCCATGATATAGGTATCTGGTTCGTTGTTCGGATCTTCTCTCCATAGAAACCTTTGCGAATCGACATCTTCTTTTCTGATACGTACTTGATGAAACATTTCTTGTATGTCACCTGCGATCGCAAATTTTCTTAATCTGAATTTGAGAAGTACTGCTGGCAGAGGGTTCAAAAGGTCAGGACCACTAAGCAAACCATCATTGAATGACACACCATTCGCTTTAGCAGCTGCGTCAAATACTAACCTCAGTTTGTCAGGTTTGTTTGGATTTATTGCCCCAAAATGAGGCAGATAATACGTCCGGTCATTTATAACAGTAGCTTCGTCATCACGTAGTTTTCTGATGTAACCTTTTTCTTCATAGTCAGTGATCTTGGCTTTGTATTTGTTATGAAAGTTTTCGTCTCTTGCCATCTTCCTTTCAATACCCTTAAGCCTTTTCAGCGCATTTTCATAGCTCGGTGGATATTTAAAGTCTTCTGACTTCCATAGTAGGCCGGATTCATACCTATCCCCTACTTTTTTGGTCGTATCTTCTAAAATCTTGAGGGCTGTTTCGTCTTCAACTGATTTCACATTGTCATCTTCTACTAGGGACACGCCATAATTTTCGATTTCAAAAGAATCTTTGATAATATCATGAAGTTTTTCACTTTCAAAAGACGTTAGAGTGAATTGACTATCTACTCGCCCAATGTGTTCATGACATTTACCGTGCAATGTCCAGCCTAAACGACTCCAAGACAAGACTGGAGAGTTGGGAGGACCTTCAATAATTTTCCTTGCTAGAATAAGGTCACAGTTGTCTTGACCTATAAGTATTGTAGGTTTCAAATTTCCTGACGGCAAAGGTTGACCAATTGACCGTAAGTGAGACCACTTCTTTTAGCGAATTTCCCATATAGGGAATAAGCTATTACCGTAGTACTCATAGTAAGACCTGGACGCGGGACCGATTTTTTTTTTCGTTTCGAGGTCCCTAGAGGCCAAAAACACCATCCGTTCAAATTCATATATATATATATATTTATATATTTATATATTTATATATTTATATATATATATATATGTGTCCGTTAGCACGATAACTCGAGCAAAAATGATCCGATTTGGATGAAATTTGGTACAAACGTGTAAACCTACGTTTATTCGAACGAGTTCGCGATCCAGCATGATCGGACCATGGGAACGGGGAACGGGGGTTTCCAGGGGGTTTTATGGGGTAAAAATAGGTTTTTCGCATTTTTGACCCAAAAAAACATAAAATTTAGCAATTTCTTTCCAAACCATTTTGTAGAGCTTAAAAAAACAAATAATTTAGTATATTGAAGCGTTATTATGCGCCTAATGGTTACGGAGAAAATTCCAAAAAATTGTAAATTTAAAATTCCCATGTTATTCTTATGGAGAATAAGTATACTGTTGTAGTTTGCTTGTTTATGAACATATTTTGATCAAATTTGGAAAATGTTTTTATTTCTTACTAACTATTAACATTTTACATTTAAAAAAACCCTTTTACCCTCCCTGTTGCAGCAAACCTAAGTATGTGTTAAACTGATTCTATTTAAATAGGGAATAAATGTGATATTTTTAAGAAGACATTTTAGTGTAAATCCAATCAGGCAAATGGAAATTCGCTTAGTCTGCAGGTTTGCTGCGGCGGGGGTATTTTAGTTTGACAGTATCCACCATTTGTTTTGGTAAGTCCAATGGACTGGGTTCGTACATTGTTTAATGTAAATACTTCGTCCTCATATAGCCCTTTAATTTTAACTTTCACAGTCATGGATGTTGGGTCGAAATGTTGGGTTGCATTGGACCAGCATGTCGTGAGTGGTTCAATACTACCGTTGACGCCTAATTTATCGGCTGTAGCTGAATCCAACAAAGATACTGTTGACCCGTCATCTAAGAGTGCATAAGTGTCGATCTGACAACTTGGGCCATATAATGTCACTGGACATACTCTTAGTAGAACACGGTTATTAACAACATGACTGCTAATAATTTCTTTATTTTGCGGTTCGCTGTCCTGTTTGGGAAACCTCTCAACTTTGTCAGTATGGAGAAGACGATGGTGAAACAACTTACACCCATTTATCCCACAAACCTTTTTTACTTTACATTTTTGGAGCTGGTGATGTCGAAAGCAGAAGAAACATAGTTTCTTTTCGACAATCATTTTCCATCTCTGCGATACATCTGCCTTCCTGAAAACTCCACATCGTTCACTTTCGTGGCTGTCGAGACAAAACATACAGTTAAACTGTTTGTCTTCGGTAGAACTGGTATAAACCGGCTTTATGTCAGTTTTCTTCTGCCAGAGTTTCTCTTCTGTAGGACGAAAGTAAATACTCAGGATTGAGCATTGTTTTTCCAACCAAGTGGAAAACTCCTTCAAGTCGGGACTGCTTAGAGCATTATTACTTACATGTTCAGCCCACCTGTATTTTAAACTATAGGGAAGTTTGTTGAGACATTCATTTAGTAAGTAAGGATTTAATACATGATTTTCTAGATGTAATGACTCTGCTGTAGCAGTAAAATTCAAAATATTTGTCGAAAACTCAACAAGACTTGTAGTGTCGTCTTCCTTGACAGAAGGTAGCCTACGAGTCTTTTTTAACATTGACTCCAAAATGAGTTCTGGTCTACCAAAACGCATCTGTAAGGTCTTGATAATTGACTTAAGATTTTGACTTGAGACAAAAAGAGGCTTAACCATTCTAAATGCTTCTCCCTCTAGGCAATTCCTTACTCTTATGAGGTTGTCATCCTCACTAAAAAGATAGGCAGTTTTTTCATACGCCGAAAAAAATATCGGCCATTCATCAGGCTTGCCACTGAAGCTTGGAAGTTTTTGACGAAATGAAACAGGCTGTATAGCTTTTTGGAAGGTATCCTCAAGCTTTTGCACGGCTGAGGTCATGATGGCTGATGAGGACTTAAGAACTGTCGGTTCTTTTTCATTCAACCACCTTTCAACCTTGCTTTGCGGTTCTTCCTCATCATCAAGATTTATGCTTAGTCCTACCTTGGTTTCAGATCGATTACTTGGGCGGCTTGACTGTTGACTGCCACACACTGAAGCAGACTCAAGCTCAGCTCTCGCTGTCAGCAGTTGCTTCTGTCGCTCTAGTTCTCTAGCTTCCATTCGTCGTTGCCACTCCATTTCTTCAACTTGTCGTTGTCGCTCCATTTCTCTTTCCTCATGGGCTCTTTCCAATTTCTGTATTTCTTCTAGCTTCTTCAACTCCACTTCCATTAATCTTCGTCTACTAGAAGAAGTACTAGATTTGGCAGATACTGATGGTTGGTCTTTACTTGGCTTTGGATTAACAGTTTTGTCGTTGTTATTCCCAATTGCTGGAGTATATCTGTCTGGAGGGTGTCTTTCCCTCTCTGATCTCCTTATTGACATGATAAAGTCGGGTTTCGGCACCAAATGTAAAAAATATTAAAGACAGACAAGACTTTTAGACTTGACAAAAATAGATGTGTATTTATTGGACATTATTTACAATCATAATATAATAATAAAACATGTGTTAGTTCTATTAGAATAAATAAAGAAGGCAGGCATAAATTAAACATATTAAAGAACACAAATCAATGAGTCAATATGAAACATATTACAAATTTCTACAAATAAAAATAATTATTTTCTGCCAATATTATTTTGCGAATTTATGTAGTGCGTGCTAAATACATACAAATCAGTTTCATGATATATTACACTAATATCCCAAGTTACGCTGGATTGTAAAGTATTGTTTTAGAGTCTTTAATGGTGCAAGACATGATCCTAGCAGACATCAGCTGGTACAACAATGCAGTCAGCTGTTTCAAGATGTTTTGTGGATGTAAGCGGGTTGGCACCAGATTGTGGCTTGTGTAATCGGATCTACAACTACTGAAGTAGGTTCAACTATCTCACTACTTTACAGTAGAATATCTTCTTTAGAAAGCGAAATAAACAATATTGTAGTTTACGCAACGATTGTGTAAAGTTTGTGTTAACGACACGAGTAGAAAATTTAAGGTACGAGCCTTGTCGAGTGCCTTAAAACTTCTACGAGGACTACTTTACCTACTTTACCACGAATACTACTTTACCTACGACAGTGTTCAGTTACTAAAAATAACTACTCATAACTTCTAAGAGTAGTTATGTTTTCGTTCATAACCTCTCATTGCCACTGACAGTGATGCAACGAAACATTGTACCAAACACTAATTGCACGACTCAACAATTAAATTGGTGTGAACAGCTTTTAGTTGAAGTTTGAATCATCACAATTTTACCTCTTCTCTCTCAATCCTTGAACCTCATTGATCAGTTACCCGTGTTGTTCTGAGTATATCCATGCTGTTATGTGAAACTTTTCAATTCTAAGAACTGAACTGGAACGGCTACTTTTAAACATGGTGGTTGGTAGAAATTATGAAAGAATAAATACTCCTGAGTACCCTGTATTAAATACAAGATTATTTAATTTGTAACCTACTTAAAATGCAAAACGAATTTATGGGATAATTTCGACCATCTGATAGAGTTTTATAAGTTTTAAAATACAGAACACGGTAGTGTTTATTTAGAGTTATGCAGTGAATATAAGACATAACTGTATTAACGACTAGGAGGTTAAGACATGTTACCATTATGTTGAAACCTGTTACTTCTACGGAACATGCTGGGACTTGACTAATTAGCTGGCTATTTTGTAGAAGTGTTTGGAGGAAAACCTAATTAATCCAGACGAGTTCCAAGTCATGCAAATTAGTGAACCTTAAGGTTTCCATAAAATAAAAAATAATCAAATATGTATTTCCAATAATTCAAACCACACTGTACCAAGTATGCATGAATATTTCTTGGAACAGTGTAAGACTAAACCATTGATAATAAGACTAATGGAAAGATAGCCCTTAATGAAAAACATGATTTTGTTCACATAGTGTATTTTCAAATTTAAAAAATACTTTTGATTGTTATTCCCACAGTTTTTTTGAAGTTGTGTCTTTTGTATTACACATATCATTGAAAGCATTGAATAGTTGTGACACATAATATCGTAAAATTATATATACGAGTATTTTATTTAATAATTTACAATTAAATATTTAAGAATGGTTCTTGCATTTGGATGTAGAGGATAAAATTAGATAAGTCATTTTAACATTAAATTTAAGTGCACTCTACCATTGTTTCATTTAGTAATCTCAAGGAGTCCCACCATAACCGTTTGTATTCCGTTTTTGAAGTCTCGTTTGGTTTTGGTTTGACATACAAAATCATGCTTTTAAATTAAGCATTTCGTATGACTAAAATAAATCTAGAACACAAGTTATAGGAAGGTATTTATATTTTTTTATTTATAAATATTGTTCAGATTTAGGGTATGACGTACAAATCAGCTGTGACGATCCAGTCGCACTGAGCTTTTTGCTTCATCAGCCAAGATGATGTTTAAAGAAGAGCTCCAAAATGTTTTTCCATTACTGTACATATCAGTGTACAGTACAATGTCACTATTTGTATTTCGTCTGTTAGAACCATAGCAGCCCATTTGATATGACTGTCAATATACTTTATGCCAATCACGAAATACACATTTAAAATATCAATATCAACTTTAGCGTAATAGTACAAAATATTTGTTTTCTAACTCGGGTAGACTTCCGTATATGCTGTCAAAAACAACCGAATGAAAATATCGCTCGATATATCGATTATTTCTTTTGATATATCATTTGGTTAGTTAGGTCAGTTAGTTAATGGTTATACCTTACCTAACTAACCAAACTATATATTGATTGAAATAATCGATATATCGTTTCATTCGGTTGTTTTTGACAACAGATGCGGAATTGTACCCTCTAACTCGACATGGACTGCTGAAGATCAGAAGATCGTTAGTTTGGTCCTTTTCAATATTGGGTAATCTACTAAATATACTGTTTCCCTACTTTGAACAATGAAGATTTTTCAAAGATCCATTAACTTGAATTTATAAAACATGGATTCAGGCTTCAGGCAAAGCCAAAAGGTTCGCAGTTTCATTGTGAAATATCAATATTAGTTAACCCTTGAGTTAGTGGGTACGAATAATGAAATTTTGTGATAACCAAAAGGTGTAAAAGAATGCTAACAGATAATTAACGGTCGTAAATTTCTAGCTGTACCCTATAATTTGTAATAAATCTAACAATCTTCCATTTCTTTCTAATAATCTAAGATACGATAACGTTAACATGACTGCAATAAAGTAGATTGATACAATAATAGCTTGTTACAATATTTTACCTCAAAGTAATCAACCAACCACTGGTTTTAACCGCTGTCTTTGAACAATAAAGGTTCAATCGACTGTTAGTGGTTTATTTCTAGTAGTGGATTATTTTATAGTAACTATTATCGTTTTAATATCACATATTACAAATGTTTTAATACACCATTACTGTAACATTTCTTACTAAATATACAAAAATAAGATTACGTGGTTTTAAGGCTAAAATTTCTTTGTCACAAACAATCTTTTACAAGTACTGTTCTTGTCAATTTGTTAAACAAATATATTAAATATAAATCGTATGCCATCGCGTTTGAAAATTGACCACCAAATAAATGTTCGGTAAATACAACTAGCCATATGAACTAAATTGCACAAAGTTTACTGCAGAATAAATACCACATTCAGTTATATGACCCAGTTGTTTCCTCACCAGTGGAACATACGATCTGCAATGTTTTGGTATATAATATAAACACAATATTTATATGAGCGTTTGGACGTTTGTGTTACTATATATTATAAAACTATACAGGGGACAGTGGCTTCGTCCTGTAATACAGCTACTAGAAGGTCATTGTGGATATTTATATGAATGCACTGTGGATAAGATACTCACTGGTGTGGATTAACGTCCGCACTAGAGAGTACTACGACTATCCGCAGTACTGTCCTGATAATTAGACAAGTTTGTTAGTTACAATACTAAAATGTGGTTCGGATCCCACCATAAGTAGGTACCTTAGTTGCGATTGGCTGAATGGGCTATTAATTAACAGCTGTGTCTAAGGAATGTCGGCCTTAGTCACTAACAAGACTACAAGATTGCGCCACTCTTCCTACACTCATCTCCATTCGTACTTGGCTTAAATACCTACTTTCATATGGTCGCTATTTCGAAGAAAAGTATAAAGTATTAAATATATTTTACTAACCAAAGATTATGATACTTAAAACACGTAGAGTGCGGCCGTTCCCGATCGGGTACGGCGCTTGGCCCCCGTACGGTGCGTCCGTACCCCATCGGGAACGCTCGGTAATGCCTTTTGTATGTCTTCGTTTTTGCTCTAGCGTCGGCCGAAAGCGGACCTATACGACGTTAGCGTGTAGTATGTGACTTGCATTTTGTTGTGGTGTAGGTTGGTAGTAAATTTCCCCGTAAAATTCCCGTCTGGCAATCTCAAAAGTCTTCTTTTTGTCCCGTCTTTTTCCCTCCATTTGGCAATACAATTCCAATGGGACCGGCTACGTTCCAAGCAGTGCTGCTATCTGTGGGTGTTTAGCGAACTACATCGACTCTCGTTGTAAAGCAGGACATCCCCTCACGTTATTTGCTATTCGTCAGACCAAAATTGAAAAGGCCAATCACACGCGGCAATCGGGTTTACTCGACGCTGAGGGCTGCGCCGCACTGGGGATACGCCCGCTATTTGACGTGCCGCAGCGAACGTGTTAACTATGCCAATGACAAAGAACCTCAACCTGACGCCTTTAACCGTCAACAACATTCCCGCTCCCTCCAACGTTATTTCGCCTTGCTGTCACGGATTTTGTAAAAAACTGGCTTTCACTGTCAGCACCACATGGAAGAAACAATCCATGAAAATCCTTTTGGCATTCCTTGGTTCATTACGGCATATTTTACATGAATTGTATATCCATATCAGGAGTGTGATCCTAAAAGTCAATTATAATTCGAAATCCTATTTTCTAATTATGTAAAGAGTTATACTGCCACAGCTATCATGCTGACTAAGGAAAATTCGATTTACCTCATGCATTTTCATGGATATTCCCTTTTGGAAATTCGTCTTTGGCCCAAAACTAGCAATCCTCAAACTCAAACCACTGATTTGAGAGTGAAAACAAACAAAGATACTTTACCTTTTGTGTATTCGTACAATCAGTTTTGGTGGCAAGAATGTTATGTTTAGTTGAGATATAGTTTTTAAAGATGGTATATAATTTAGTAAGTAGACAAATAAAGGTCCAAAATTAATAACAATATTGTAAGGTATGATCAATATTTTTATTGTTTAACTCAGAAAACACTTTTTAGCTTTTTAAGGTTTTACCTCATCTTTTTTCTCCTTTAGAATCCCACAGAATTTGTTAGAAAACATACGGGCGAAACAACTTTCAAGTTTTTTCCTTGATGTTTTTTCGAGGATGCCTTTGAGATCGTTCATGGGAGCACCGTGCCCGTTTAAACTGGTTTCCACATCACTCCACTGCAAAATAAAAAATAAACTATACAATACGTTAGAGACATAGTAAATAGGAGGTAGTTTATATTGTATTAATTTATCCAAACTTATTTTAACTGTAAAGCAAAAAATAGCTGAAGAAAATATTGTAATCCCGTACACAGCACCAACGCAGGGAACAGAATATGTTTTAAATTTGCGTAAATCGATTTTTTCCGGTACGCAGGAAAATATTTTGAGTAGAAGATTTTCATAATTGCAGCCTAATGTGACTCTTTTCTCGCAATCTTTAGTTTAAAGACTTGTGTAAAACAATGGTCAGAAAATGAGCGTGGGTGGAAAAGACATTTTGGTCCGTCTATTATCCTGCATTGTCTATAAATTTTATTTGCTTCAACCGATATTCGTTTTGTTGTTTGGTGTAATAAAGTTTATTATATTTACCTGAGAAAATTCAGGATTAAAATACCTGTAATACCTATAATGTTTAGGTTTTTTTTGTTTTCCTTAACTGTGAATAATTGAATCATTACAATTGAGCTGTAATAAAGGTTTTTAGGGTCCTATTCTCCTAAAATCACTTGACTTTTATAAAAACACATATTGCATTTCCTTTATGTGCAAGGATTATTAGCATTAAAGGAGTTTCCTCTGCAATTATCAAAAAAGTCCATGTGTCCTACTGATAAAAAACTGTAGCACTTTGGCTAAAATTCTCGTTCACCGTTTTTAGGAATCAATGTTGTGTTCATTATTAGTCAGGCTAATAACAATATTAAATTATTTAAAAAACAAAATCTCTATTTCTTCTTCTTGGGAGCGTTCTATGACTTTTCTATGTTTATAATTTGCAAATTGGGGTTTTGAATTATTGGTCAAAAATATAATAGTGCGTCAATTTAACTTCTTTTTGTGTAAATGCCAAATTTACCAGGATTTCCCACCGTTTTCATTATAATTTGTGCACAAACTTAAATTCACTATTTAAAATATTGTTAAAATAGTAATTGATTCTCTTTCACCTAATAAAGAAACACATTTAATAAGCTATTTTCATGCAACGACACGAAACTTTAAAGTGAGCTCTTTAAAGTTACAGAAATAAGGACAAAATAGATCGGAAACTCTAGGAGCTCTGCCAAAAATAACCCAATCAAATTAACAACGTATGTAGTAGATCAACTGGTTCTTTGATATTAAGATTTTGTCCGAAACCCAAAAACAAATAACTAACTGTACATCTCTGGATTACCCAATTCAAATTATTATTCTATTAAAATCAGTAAGGGTTTGTAGCACATGTTTCTTGCATTGCAACAATTAAATTATCATAATAAACAAAAGGGATAATAAATAACGACTTTAGTTGTACAGGCCAGGCAAAATAAGGCCTTGCGGTCAGTATTTTGAGCCGATAGTTGTAATTTCTCAGCTATTTGTTATTCGATCTTTTAGATCTTGGTGTCATTTGATAGGAAATTTTAAAGGTTAAATAAAAATGTTCTTGGAATTTTTTTTCATAAAATCAGCCATTTTTATAATTATTAATTATTTATTTTACAAATTTAAATGGCCGACAATTTGAAATCAATATATTTTGTAATGACTTTAGGACGAGATACAATTGTATACCATTTCATCAACATATCTTAAATAGTGTTTGACAAATAAATTTATAACACAAAAAAACAAATTGTGGATATCTCGCTAGGGAGGAATTTTGTTTACGTGTTATTCTTGATTTTACTTTTATTATGACCCAATAAACCTATTGCTGAATTATTTGTACTTACTTGTGGGACACATTTTATAGATGCTCAACTTAAAAAATCAATTTTTAGGCAAATAATTCTTTTAAAAATTAATACGATAACGGTGCACGTTAAACATTTCAACTTTCCATCAAGAAAAGAGAAATCAATGGCTTGTTCCATTCTAGTTTTTACTCCATTCAGTCATGCAAGCAAGCTAAATAAATGATTTTATTCTATAGTATGCGTAGTTGGTTACTACTTTGAAAATTACTCTTCTAATGTTGTCAACCTTCATTCAATGAATTTTAAATTTAAACATCTACAGATCCAAACTTAAACTAACCACGAATAGAAAACTCGCCATTCCATCTAAGCAGTGGCAATGTATGATCATAGACAAAAATAATTAAATATAGACTGTCAGCCGTGCAGTGGTTACCATGGTTACCATAGGTTCTGGCGCACACCGCTGGGAGCACCGTGTAGTTACGTAGCGCGTAGACCGTAACTACATAGCGCTCCCAGTGGTGTGCGCTAGAACCTATGGTAACCGCAGCACAGCTGACAGTCTATACTTAATTCTTTTTGTCTATGGTATAACAATTGTATAACAAGTGTAGTATAAAGCAAGTAATTCCTTTTAGTTACAACATTAGATCACTAGTACCTTGATGGTGGTAGCATCTACCATCGCAGTTATCACGTCATCGCAATCCTTCCAGCCTTTGGCCGTCATGACGCTTGTATGCAGAGAACTTTCCGTTGCACGTTTGAAATAGCCCCATCCGGCATAAAGGTAGAAGTTTTCCATTGTGCTCTTAATATCTTCTTCATCCACACGTCCTACATTTTTGAACTTTGAGATTAAAATCTCAATAAGGGCTGGTTTTAGTTTTTTAAGGTTGTCATCCTAAAATATATATATTGTATTAGTTGAATATTTTTAGTTAAATAAATATCTTGCAGTTAAGTTATGACGTGGGTTATATTAGTCAATGGCAGTAGTTTGAGGAAACCGTATTAGAAAATTTAGCAACATACCTGTTTAAAATATAGTAAACATTGTTAATACAAAATTAAAGATAGTCTGTGTGTGATAATTCCTTTGGATGAAGGCCAAACCAACACGTACGACTCAAAACAAAATATAAATGCTGGATGAATAACAGTAACTATGAAGATGTGTTACTAGGATCAGTAGATATAATATAGCAATATGACCCCACTTTCGGCGTTTTTGGGCCCAGAACTTTTAAATTTTTTTGGCGAAAAAACACCCAAAATAGGTATAATATGATGGTTTTACCCTATTTTTGACGTTTTAGAGGCTATATGGGGGCATTTTTTTGGTTAAAAAATGTTATTAATACTGAAAAACATGTCTGGAAATGAAGAGCTTTTTTTGACCACTTTTTTAAAGACCCGGCTCTCGGCACGCGAACTCGGGTGCGCTCCCGACCCATAGGCACACTTCTGATCCCCAGCGATGACAAACTAAAAGTCTTACGAAAAAATGTTTGAAACAAAAATTGAGGAACATCTAATCATCTATACTTCTTCCACTGAAAGTTTTTCTCTGATTGAAAAATAAAAAAAATCCTTGCTTACTCACTTTTTCATGTTTACTCAAAGTAACCTTTTTATATTTTCCTTAATTAATAATTACACACTGGCACAAATTAAATTATATTTATATTGTATTAAACAGTAGTTCATGTAGTATTTTAATATATAAATTTCATGCTATAAATATTTTTATTAGAAGCTAGACCAATGTGTAAGTGATAGGAGGTGCATCACTTTGAACATCATCACGCACCCGACACTGCCGTGCTGGCAACACCTGGAGTTTGAAACCATTGCTATTGCTGAAATTATATTATAACACATTTACATACAAAAGAAACTGGTAAATGGTTTTAAATTTTTAAACTTTTTTATGCTGTATTATTATGTAGAAGGCCATGTAGTATGTAGGCTGGAATTTTAGCCGTTTTGTTGTATATCAAGCCTTTTTGAGATATAAATATTTTTAAACAATAAAGCAGACCTTTATTCACTAATGCTGATATTATATTACAATGCATTGGCATACAAATGAAAACGGTTTGATTTATTTGTACTCATATAAAATAATATAATTCTTTTGAGTTATAGGGATGTCTGGTGATTAAATCACAAATTAAGATCATTTATAATGGACTTTTAAAATAATGGAATTAAGTATAGACTTATAACATTTTCATGATAACTGTTTGATTTATTTGTACTCATTTAAAATAATGTTAAAATAGTATTTGATTTTTATGTTGTATTATTGTTTTTTATCAAAAGTTGAAACCAATGTAGTGTGCCTAAATGTTTATTTACTGTTTTCTGTATCTCAAGCCAATAGATAGAATAGAACAAAGAGGTGTTTTTGGTGTTTTACCTATGAGAATAACATGGGGAGATTTTAAGCCACTTTTTAAAAATCGTGCTTACTCTCTATACATTTCTATGCAAATGTCCATCTCCAAAAATATTTCCAATCCCCATTAATTTTTGTATCATGTGAGTTTTGCACCAGTTGGTTTGAAATATTTATAAATATAACGTGTTGCTGGAATCGCCTTAAATGGCAAGAAACATGTAGTCTTGGGACCTCTGGTAAAATATTGGAGTTTTCCTAGTTTGGACTAAATATTTTTGAAAATTGAAAAAAAAATATGTTTTTTACTCAACTATTTTAGCATCTTGAAACATGTATTACCGAAGAATCAGGCAAATATTTCGTGCCGAAATTATATTTTACCTTACGTGAGAACTTGGAATCATTATTTAAACTCAGTCCTGCTCCACAGTATAATTGCAGGCTTGCTTCTCGTCCTAAGTGGTGAATTGTGTACAGTTTATGTGTGGTGCAAAGACTGGTTTCTCTTTTTAGTTGTGACCAGCTCATTCCTAAGATGCTAGATGGTATCCACTTTGCCTCTGAACATAAGCAAATTGTAATCTTCAGTTTAGGACTTAAAGTTAATGTCGGATGTGATGCCTCTTTGATCAGAAGTTTGGGTTGTGATTAGCTCAACCCCTATCACCAATATCAGCATAGATCCATTGAACTATTATGTGTTATTGTACTTTGTGCTGATTAATATGTGTTTGGTAAATTAGCATGGCACAACACACAATCCCACATCTTGCTAATTGTAGTTGGTAGTTTAGGTGGTCAAAGTAGAAGTAGGGAGCATTGACTTTCTACAATCATGATGAGATAACTAGCCAGAGCCTCAGACTGCAATAAAAAATAGATGAAAATGCAAACTCTAAAGGCCCCGACCGTGTTTCATACTTCCAGGCTGGAACAACCTTTACTCGGAATATTGTATATAAATTGTTTGTATACATAAGACTCTTGTAGTGAATGTACTCTTCGATGAAAAGACAAAATAAAGATGAAAAACTACTTTATGCAAAGAAGAGAAAGTGATTGTGAAGGGTAGCTATAAACAATCGTATTTTAGTGAGCAATGAAAGTTGCTATAATTATTGGGATTGTTTTGGATAAGTTTATAGATATGCATTGTGTTTACAGGAATTAATCATAGTGGGGATGCCATTTACATCGAGACATATTGATTTTGTTAAAGTGATAAAATGAAGACCATGATAGTGGTGGATAAAGATTTTAATTGTTGAGCAATCGATGTGAGAAGGAGTTTCTTGTTAAACAATAACCTGGAAAACCAATACAACATAATGCATTGTCATCCCTCATTGGTATTGTACCTTACAAGCTCTTTTGTTCTTTACTCATTTTCAAAAACATATAAATTACAAAATAAGCCATTTGTTGTTTATTTTACTGTTATGTATTGTAAGTTTATATATTGAAATAAATGGTTAAATAAATGTAAGTTGAAAAATGAGCCTTATTTTGTCACTAGTTTATTTACATTGACTTGAATCACATTTTTGAACTAACAGATGATTAAATTATTAATTGCATAACATTTGAAACATAGAGATACAACATTTATATTATTAACTGGAAACTATAGATCTATATTATTGTATGAACATAATTTCTGTATTTCATATATGTAAAAGCAATGAGACCATGCTAAATTACAGAATTCAATAACAAAGGAAGTTGATATTGTGCTATATACCTGAGGGTGTAAATATAGAGGTGGGTATTTCCATAGAGACCTAATGATGAATCAGAATGTGAAAGTTCTATGGTAGAAATATCAAGAAAGCAAGAGTGATCATCAGAGGTAACATGGTCATTAGGGAATTCATAGAGAGGGGTCAGTCAGGTTGAACTAGTATATTGCAATGATTCATCCAATATAGAAACAATAGTTACAAATAACCAGAACCAATCACTGAATATTGTAGTTAGTCTTCCTATCCTACTGTTAAAATATGAAACTCATTTTTACATGAGTTAGTGAGTTCATGCCCGGCAACATGAGTGTAATAATGGTTCCAAATGTATTTATCTTATTTTATGGTAGATTTCATTGTGTATGCTTACTCTATGGTAAAACTCTTTGAGATCATTTAATATTTAACACACTTAGAGATTAGTGAATAAATCATCAAAGTGTGATATAAATATGCTGGGTGAAACGTATTAAAACTTGCTATTATGTGTTATTGTACTTTGTGTTGATTAATATGTGTTTGGTAAATTAGCATGGCACAACACACAATCCCACATATTGCTAATCGTAGTTGGTAGTTTAGGTGGTCAAAGTAGAAGTAGGGAGCATTGACTTTCTACAATCATTATCAATTAATTTTATCAATTAAAGGATTGTCAAATGTCTCGGTTTTGCTAACTATGACCTGGTGTCCCGAAAAGGGCTCTTAAGACCATAAGATGACTATACATAAAGTTTGGACTATTGAATGTGATGTGAATTTATGCATACTTCATCATACAAATGTTACACTATAGTATTTTTACAAGTTCTGACTGTGACTGTGATGTGAATTTGTGTGTATTTCATCACATAAATTTCACACTATTTTCACACATTTCACACCACTATTATGATGTGTTGTGCCTGCATGGGTGTGTTGAGCCATGGATATCATAAACCACAAAGCTATAAGGACGTATGCTAGAACTGATCTAACCTCTGCCAAACCCTGAATACGAGCCTGGAGGCACAGACTTCGGACCAAGGATCAATTGTAAATAGACAAACCTGCATGATAGGATATAGAACACTGAAAAATGCAAATGTTAGAAACTTAAGTCTTTTACTTATTTAGTCTTACCATCCTCTGTTTTGGAGGAAACTGCCTTACAACCAACATGATGAAGATTGTATTAATACTCATGATCTTGGTCATTATAAAATTGATCAAACATAAATCTGTATTTGCCATTATTCATAGACCTTTCCTTGTCTATTATGAAAAAGCCATCAAACACTGGTGGTAAAGACTTCTATATTGATTAAAAGTCATTATTAATATGATTGTTAAATATAAGGTTTTAAATTTATATTGCCTTGTTTGGATAATATTAGAAAATGTACGTTATCGCATAAATGTTTGTGTACTTTCTAAGTAAAAGCAGTTAATATTTTTATGTTGACCCATTGAGAGAAATTGTATACTATTTGTACTATAAAAGGTCTATTCATGCATATCAGTCCAGTAAAAGTTCTGTTATAATCCAGGCATAGGTCAGTCTCAATTGCATCCATAGTTTCTCAGTCAACCTGTCAGTCATTTGGTTACAGTCTGTTTTTTAACTCTTCATTAACCGATGTTATATAACATTTTTTATTTGAAACACAATATTCTATAAAATTTTCATTGGCCAGTTTTTGTTGATTGTTATAAACTGTACTTGATATACAAACACATACGTTGTCATCAGTCAGGCGTCCAAACAATTAAAAA